AATATTGATGGCTTGGTTATGTGAACAGAGTAGCAATATTGAAGGCTTGGTTATGTGAACAGAGTAGCAATATTGAAGGCTTGGTTATGTGAACAGAGTAGCAGCATTTATGTCTTAGCTATGTGAACAGAGTAGCAGCATTTATGTCTTAGCTATTTGAACAGAGAAGCAGCATTATGGTATAAAGAAACCGAATGCAACAACCAAGAGTAAAAAATTAAATAAAAAGGATAAATATTCTGCTAATAATATAATCTTTACGATCTATAACACCGGTTAATTATGACAACAAAATATATCAATACAGTACTCTTTACGTTACTAAATTTGTCTAGAATACAGTCGCCTTTAAGACTGATTGACTGGATTTATCCGCACTATTATGATACTGTTAGTAGGAGCCACACAAGTCTTGTTATTATATACAGTAGTCAACATATGGTGGTGTATTAACAATGTAAAAATAATCACATTATATCTACATAAACACGTTTGTTTTGTATAATTTCGCGTAAAGCTACACGAGGGATATCCGTCGTTAATTTTGAAATTAAGGACTTAAGGGAATGCAACTAGTCAACCCATCGCCAAATTTGGGCTACTCTTTGTAAACGAATAATGATATTGACCGTCACATCATAACGCCTCTACGGCTGAAAAGACGAGCATGCTCGGTGAATGGATTCGATCCCGCAACACGACATACCGTGAGTAGATCGTCCTAATCACGGCCATACCGCACGTACAACGTTGAATTATTACACTATTTTATTGGCAATAATAGCAGCCAGGTGCATAACAAATTATTCAACAAAGGATGTTGTAGCGCCATCTATTAGACAAAACGTTTAATATAAAAAAACAAAAAATTAATGTTACTACATCCAATAATAGTTGCCTCATGTTTAATGTGTAAGCTAGTTTTTCAGACAAAATATTTTTGTATATTCCGAATTTTCCTTTACACTAAGCCCGTGAGGTAACGATTTCTATTTTATTTTTTGTTATGGATTTATCATTTCCGTATTTTCCCACTTTTTAACATTTAGTTTTGCTACACTTGTATTTGCCATAAAAACGCCAGCTTACCTGCATGTTAATGAATGTTAAATATTAAACTAGTTAATGTTATATTAACACACCGACACAAATGCTAAGTTGTCAGATGTGTGATATAATATGTCCGGTTAGGAAATAAACAGCCCCATCTATCGTGAAAATAAGGGAAACTTAGAAAGCTCTGACATAAGATATATTTGTTTACTATTAATTAAAAGTGATCATATTTTACAGCAGAGATCCACCTGATTACTATTTGTGATTTTTTTAGAAGTGTTTAATATTGTCCTTAGGAATCATGTTTTTTCTGGTTGCTTTTTCATAATTCATTGTTGTTATTATTATTAATATACTGTATGATTTGAAGTTTGATACTGACAAAGTTTTTTATCTGTTTCAATATTTATGTTGTAAAGTACTACAAGACCCTGCCTATTAATTTACAATTTCTGAAATTTGTAGAACTTGTATTAAATATATTCGTAATTTATCTTACCATGGTAGTAACATGGTTGTTTAATAGTTACAAACCTTTCTTGCCTAATTGAAATATTTCATAATTCTTCAGTATTGTATCTTTTGTTGATGATAATAACTTTACGTCTACTTTACAGATATCCGAATCCTATACGATTGCGAGTTTCGTTATTCGTTACATCACTTCTAATCATTTTAAACGATTTGAATGATTTATTATATTTTTTACTCTTCCATCAGGGGTAAGAAATAATCCTGATTACAATAGAAAAAAACTATTTCTTCTGATTCATTTAAACATTTTACAAATAATTTCCCAGAAATACCCACTTCAAGACATAATAACAAATCAGTTGTTAACATTGCTTCTAGATGGAGCGAAGATCAGATTTACACAAGTAAAGATATTCATGGAAAGCTTATCTGAATTCTTTGGATTTTTTTCTTATTGAAGTAAAACACGAGTGAGAAAATACAAATTATGAGAACTAGAGAACACTATATATGGCTATAAAGTCGATAATAATTTGTGTCCTATTAATAAATAAAATTCTGCATGTGAATAAGTATCCTTCTTAACATAAATTAATTTCTATTGCGCTTTATAAACTTCGTAATATCAAGTAAATTTTAAAATATTAGATTACAGAGAACAAGAAGATCAAATATTAAATAGGGAGTTAATATTATTTTTTCCAACAAAATGACAAATTTATCTGGAATGTGCATTGTGTTCTATAAATGAATTTTATTTGAGAATGGGCAGAATAGGCTTAATATTTGATGGCTATTGTGAGCACAAATTGTAAATAAGGCATTTATTATTTTTCATTTTCTAATTTTTATAAAGCAGAAAATCTTAGTACAATATTTATATGCGCATAGTACAAACATTCTTAAAGCCTTTATTTGTTTATCAATTGTTTAGATTTAAGTTAAACGCATGCAAACATACCAGATACACCAAAGTTCCTATTAACATCAAACCACATGCTCGTTGCGTGCTTATAAGTCGCGTAGCAACTAGTAACTATGCATGACGTCATGAATTCTTCATAAAATTAAGAATAGAACCTATAATAGTAATAGGCTAGATTTTATTTTCGTGAAGGTGGTAGAAGCTTGAAATATTGCTTCGTAAGTACGCCATTTCAACTTAAAGCTACAAAATAAGGTAAGTTTTAAATCTAATTTTGTTATTTCTGAAACCATGGGTGACAAAACGGTTTATAGGTTGCAAATTATATCGGAACTTATAATATAATTATACAGTGATTGATAAGTGATCGGGTGGATTTTTGCGATTATTCTTTTTTTTTTTGAAACGTACGTATGGCGTGTGCAATAACTTTTTAAATAAAAGGATTAACAAAAATGAGTAGGGCGCTAAAAACTATGGCGTAATTATGTTACGAAGAAAAGCGAAAGGTTTTATTTTTAATAGATAAACCGTCATGAAATTATAAACTAAAAAATAAATGTTTATTTTCCTTTGACTCACTGTATTAACAATAAATGTATATTCACTATATGCTTTTATTTCCTACAACCCGGGTTTGTTTTATTACGTTTCAGCTCTAGACTTACACCAGGTAATTCAGATTGTACATTGATCTACTATTAAGTTTATTACAAATATAAATAAAGTATAAAATTAGGAAACAGATCTCATTCCTTACTAACAATTCGATCGCCTGACGACAAAACCTTTGCTTTGATCGTCGGATTTTTATTTTTTTTTCAGATTAACCAGTTCTTTGAGCCAACTTTTTGTACTTTCTCTTTTCACGTGCCCCCAGTGGCTCAACGGTAAATCTAAAGGCTTATATTGGTAAAAACCGGTTTTCGATACCCGTGGTGGGCACAACACAGTTAGCATTTTGTGTAGCTTAGCGCTTAACAACAAGACAAACAAACAAAGTTATTTTCACGTAATATCTTGGCAGTAGATATTCTACGTGCCCGTACTCCTAGAATCCGGGTTTCGATACCCGTGGTGGGCAGAGCACAGATAACCAACACATGGCAGTAGTTATTCTACGTGCCCGTACTCCTCCTTCCCTGCTCCCCAGTGGCACAGCGGTATGTCTGCGGACTTACAACGCTAGAATCCGGGTGTTCGATACCCGTGGTGGGCAGAGCACAGATAACCAACCCATTGCTTAACTACATACAAACCTTCTTCCCTATGACGTCTGCGCGATCGTTAACTTACAATCGTAGTGTTTCGCCTGTATAATAAATCATTGTTAAACGATAATTACACCTATTTATTTGGTTGAATTATATTTACTTTGTGTTTCCTTAGACTCGTATTTCATGTACCCATTTATTCAAATATTAAATGATAAGTTTAACAGAAATAAGGAATTCATATTTTCAGTTATATTCGTTGTTTCGGGTCATTGAGGAGAACAACTTGTGTCCTTGTCAGAAACCATTGATTTTTTATTCTATTTTTTGGCCCTGCCTAGTTTTATTTTCTAAGGTGGTTAATATGTTGTATTAATTGATATTAACTTTCAATCAGTGCAAGATGTATATTTAGAGCCTCAACCTGGCTATCATATAACTAATTAGAAATAATCATCTCACGTTTCTACTTGTAAAGTTTAAATTTGTTTGTTTCACCAATTGGGTACCCTTGCTGTTAATGATGTTTTAGGCTGTAATCCAATAATATCTCACGCGATTCGGCCACCTTAGGTCGTTTAAGTTAATCCTAAGTTTATATATTAAGCTATCAATGCAAAACTATATATATAGTAGAGACTGCTAATATGGGTATTAAAACTTTTATTTAAAACGTAGAACAAATGACAATATTTCGACTTGTTTAGTTTATCATCAAGTTTCCTGTATGCAAAACCATCTGTATAATAAAAGTATAACAGAAAATGAAATTAAAAAGGAATAAAATTTAATATATTAAATAACATAACCAGCACTGTTAATGAAAGTAACAATAAGTAAACAGTATAGTATAACTTAGGGCACACAGAAACACTAGTCGTGTTATTGAAATGAAAGTTAGATATTTTAGATTGTAAACTTTTGGAATAATTATGTGTAGAAAATATAACATACTTAAGTGTAGCATTTTACTTTATGAAACTTGTTAAAGTTTGAATGTAAAGGATGAAAATATACATTTTATTACTTTAATTAATATAACACAGTATTTACTGATAGTGATAATTAGTGATACATTGTTTTTTGTATCTTTTTCATTACTTAATAAGCGCTAATGTTCCATACAGGCTTCTTTTGATAGGTGACACCAGTAAGGCCTAAACGTTCACTGTATTTGCACTGTATTTGTTGAAGCTCTTCTATTGGATATTGGGATGTGACGTGCATTATTGGTGCTTATAAATATAGACTGCCAAGTTTCAAGAGCTTAGAATGTTGTAATTAGAGAACGGGACTGAGTACATGAAAAAAGCTCCAAAAGATATAATTTCTAGCGAAAAAGAGGGCGATATGATGGCAAGTAAATATCGTATTGAATAAAAACGCCCAGGCTAACAGTCTGATTTCCTACACTGTGAAGTGAGAGTGAAATGACTACCCAAGACCAAAGCTAGCCTCACTAGTGGTGATAAAAACTATTAATGTACACCAATGCTGACATACTAAATGAAGCAGTAAGTCCACGATTTTCATAGGTTATCCTAATGTGGGGAGTCTAAACTTTAAAAAGGGAAGATTCTTAATTCTACTCATATGTTTAAAACAACCGGACATCATTCTCTTATCCCCTTGCCTTGTCGCACATGCGACAGAGGCTTGGTTCCAGAAAAGCTGCACAGCCACGGGGGTCATGAAAAATATAAGCTGGGGGCCATTATAAACAACAAAGACCGAAGATCTGCTGAAGAAGCAGAAACAAACAACTTCAAAGCAGAGGAGAACGAGTCAAATCAAGAGATAAGCTCACCTACTGTATATCAAGAAAAAACGAAAACCACCAAACGGAATAGGAAGAAAGGTTATCCAAAGAACTCTTCTGCAACTCACGAGACAAAATTGTGTAATATTACTGATATCACACGTGTAAAGAATGAGATAAATACTGATGTCATTGGCAGTTCAAAAATTCAAACCACAGCTGATGTCGCCACCAGGGGTCCTCGGACTGTTATATGTTATATTTGCGGACGTGAATATGGAACAAAATCTCTACCAATTCACGAACCTCAGTGCTTAGAGGTGAGCAAGAGTTTGTAGCTTTAAACATTTGAATAAATTAATGTATTGGAAGAAAGGAATTTTACCACCCTTAGTGTTTAGAAGTAAGCAAGAGTTTGTAGCTTTAAACATCGGAATAAATTAATGTATTGGTAGAAAGGAATTTCACGAACCTCGGTGTTTAGAGGTGAGCAAGAGTTTGTAGTTTTAAACATTGGAATAAATTAATGCATTGGTAGAAAGGAATTTCACGAACCTCGGTGTTTAGAGGTGAGCAAGAGTTTGTAGCTTTAAACATCGGAATAAATTAATGTATTGGTAGAAAGGAATTTCACGAACCTCGGTGTTTAGAGGTGAGCAAGAGTTTGTAGCTTTAAACATCGGAATAAATTAATGTATTGGTAGAAAGGAATTTCACGAACCTCGGTGTTTAGAG